GAGCAGCTGTTTCGTTGTTCCGAGGTAAGCTTCGTAACAGTAGAGAATAACGTTACGAAGATTACCTCAGCAGTTTCACTTCCCATAACTTTTACCCAATTCACATGTAACTCAGTTACTTTGAGTGGAGGTGTGGGATAATTGACATTGGTTCGAACTGACAATCCTTAAAACTTCATTTTCACGCACAAGCCTGAATTCTTCCAGTTGAATATTCACCTGGAATTACAAGACTCGAGTTTCGCTCATCGGTAGTGCATATCAACCGTCCTCTATGAGGTTTGAACTCCGGACTCATCACATAGAGTGTGCGTGTGTTACCACTGTGCCAAACAGCTCATAGCAGAGATGAACCGAAGTTACCAAATTATTTCGTAAACAGTCAGTTGGTCCTCCTTACCGGAGTTCAATCGCTAAATGTCTTGCTTCTTCCTTTTATTCTTGTTTTTTCCCCAGAACCGTTAAACAATGAAAAGCTTAACAACTCCGCATTCTCCACAACGCAAAATCCTTCATTTCGTAAATAAAGAATCAATAAAATGGTCTTCCCGTTAAACGTCCCCCTACACTCCCGTCAAAGTTCTTTTTGCGACTTTAAGTAAAGCCTACGAAAGCCTCAGCGTGGTCGAGAGAGTATATTTCGGATTATCACTGGTCAGCCCTCTCTTGCACCTCGCGAAATGCTCCCATAAAACTGAATGTATCAAATAACCTCTAGTGAGGCAGTCCTACCCAGTGCCTTCCAGTGGTGGAGACGTTTTCTTCATCAAAGGGAGAGAATGAGAAACCAACATCCAGAGCTGTAACTGGGCCAGTCATCATCATCGTACAGCAAGATACAGTGAAGCGAACTTTACTGATTGCTGCCAAGCTCACAATGTACACAAATCAAGTGATAAAGCACAAGATGGAGAGAGATTGGGCCTAATTGCAAAGAAAAAGAACCTCTATGGTCAACACAGAGAGTGCACAATCTAAGTTTACATACATACATTTCCAAGCATTCTGACCTGATAAGAAATGAAAAAGAACGTCACAACTGTCAGTTAGTCGCCATATCCTTCAGTGTCTCCAGTCAGCCAGTTGCAAACTCTTTCGGGCTGGAAGACGGGAGACACCGATTCTAAGTAATCGCTCTGTGCAGCTCCTCGTGCCTCGCTTCCACATCATCTGTTGACCACGCGGTTTCTTCCAACCTTGAGCCGCAACTGCGAACAGGGCACGATGCGGCAGACGATGACTGGGCAGGCGTAACACGTGTCCTACCCACTAAAGCTGACTAATCTGAATTTGATAGGACAAGGAATTCTCCATCAAATCGTTACCAAATACGCGACGCCTCACCTCAGAGTTGCTAACAAGCTCTATCTATCCAACCCGCGCCAAACTACGCAAACATCTGCAGTTGAATACGTCTAGACAACGACTATCTTCCACGCGCAAATTTAGGGTCTCGCAACCATAGAGCAGAACTGACCGTATACTAGTGCAGTATACGCGACCTTTCAGTTTCAACGAAACATCGCGTCTACACCAAAAGTGTTTCAATCGTGCGTAAGCTGCTCGAGACGTGGAAATGCGAGCGGCTACTTCACTGACTGTGCTACCGTCATTTGAAACGCAGCTACCTAAGTAGGTGAAACATTCCACCATAGTTATTTCTTGACCATCATGCATCAGCGCTGAGGTAGACGACACCGAGTCTTGTAGCATCACTTTGCACTTTGAAGGTGCAAAGCGCATGCCGAAAGGAGATACAAAACTCGCTGGTCTGTCAAGAGCGCATTGCGCATTCTCCATAGATTCGAACAGGCATACGATGTCATCAGCGTACTCTGAATCGCACAGCTTTTCTCCAGCTGCCCACTCAATACCTACGTTCTGGAGACCAGTAATTGCGTTCTCCAGTACTTCGTCTACGACGAATTTGAACAGGAATGGCAAAATGGGGCACCCTTGACGGACACCGCTCCTGGTTTCGAACGATTTACTTACTCTACCGTAGACCCTTACGCTACCAGAAGTATGCAGGTGCAACGACCGCAATAGGTTTACATACTTCCGCGGCATTTCTCTGCGGAGCAGCGACCCCAGAAGAGCTTCACGGTCAACTGAATCGAAGGCTCCTTTTAGGTCAAGGAACATTGCGATTGTTGGCTGACGATGTGTGACGCAGTTCGAGGAATTGACGCAGAATGAAGATTTGGTCGATGCACCCGCGACCTGGTCGTAATCCGGCGTGTTGTTCGCGGATATTCCTCTCCCTTGAGGGTGTCAGGCGACGAAGTATCACAGAAGTCAGCACTTTTGTGGTTATCAGAACTAAACTAATCCCACGGTGGTTAGCGCAGTCGTTGCGTGATTCCTTCCTGAAGATCGGGACGATCAACGATTCACCTCAGAAAGAAAAAACACGCTCCTCCGTAGAGATGCTCCGAAGTAAGCTAGTAATTGAGTCAACAAGAGAATTACCACCCACCTTGAAAAGAATAGGGAGAAGCCCATCATGTCTCACAACCTTTCCGTTCCTTAGTGATTGAATGCAGCTTAGTAGTTCCGATTCCGATGGGGGCTCGCCTGCTACCACCCATGGAGTTTCCGCCGAAATTTCTGGAATGACCACAGCACCGGGCCAATTGAACTGTTCACTAAAATATTCTGCCCAGCGATCAAGTCTTTGTTCTTTGTTGTGGATACTCTGTCCACTTTTATCACAAATGGTCTCACTGACCGGTATGCGACGACCTCCGAAGCTGCGTATCAGGTGAAATAATCATCGACTGTTCCTTGATGTAGAAGCTACCTCCATTTCACCAGCTATTTTGGCCCACCAATTTTGTTAAGACTATTTCTGAGTTGACGTTGAAGGTGACACTGGTCCTTATGCTGATCTTGGCAGATTGGGATCTTTCGCTTTTGAACCATTAGAATTACTGACTCCTGAGAGATCCAAAGCCTTCGGGCTCAGGCCAATGAGTAAATTTTGCTACTAGGTGCATCGCAAATCTGTGTTGCAGTGGTTTAATCACTGCCACCGGCGTGCTTTGGAACCTACGGTCCGAGATTCGAGCCTCACCACCGACTCAACGCAGGTGGTCCAATAGGATCTGCAATTTCGCATTGAACTACGCCAACGATAGCTTACAGCTATGGGGTCAATTTCGATCAACGTTGCAGTCGAACTAGAACTCCACGTAGCCGTTCGACGAGAGCTGCGCTAGATAAGAACAGTCGGTGATCCGCACAAAACTGAAGTGGTCGATCACCGTTGTCTATTTTCTGGACGGGTAGGGCGAAGTGCCTTCCTAGACAGGCTTCGGATGCGCTGTTTTCCAACCTGCGTGTTAAAATCACCAGCCATCACTCAAACGACTCAACCGAATCAGTTCCGCGAGTTTGTCGTAAAATTAGTCCTTTGGTGAAGCGGGACTGCAGTTGGTTGGTGCATACGCGGAAATGATGAACAAACCCCTTTTGGTATTGCTATCCTTCCGAGCACTCACTGAACCCTGTAGCCGCATTGCGCACAAACGCCTATGGAAGGGTATCCAATCTATCATAGAGGCTTCAGCTTTTTCGATTTGTACGATACCTACACCACGCTGACCCAGTGAGCAGGCTTCGTCGTCTCCTGATGTGCGAAGGAAATATCTCCAGGACATACCCGGCGCACTTAGGTGGCTTATAATACTAGGATCCTGAATTCATGTCTCCGATACGCCACGGACGTCGATTTCTAGAGACTGTATTGTATGCGCAAGACACGCCCATTGACCCACCTGCATAGGAGTCCTCACGTCGAAGGCCCCCAGATTTAGTGGCTGACGAGGCTTCAAAATCTGTACTTTTTTACAGGAAAACTAGTTACAGTGCTATTTGGCAACGACCTTTGGAGAGTGACGACCAAGTTGTCTGAGGGAATATTACGGGTCGGAAGAATGGGTAAAGGAATAGGGTTGGGTACGAAAGATTAAGTGTTAAACAAAGGTTGGGGAATCTGAGCAGTAGCCCACTTATCACTACCCACCCCGCTCGATGCAACGGGCAACGCGGTCCTGATTGTCCTGCGCGACGACCGATGTAGTATGTAATTATTTTTTGGTTGTGTATGCATTTGAGTTTGATGGACAGTTACTGTCAGGGTGTCTAGCCACTAAGTAGGAGAACGATTAGGGTTCTCAGCCAAAGCCCTTAGTTCTGACACGAACCTGACCGCAAGGCAGCGGTTAAGGCGAATTATAGGCCCATTAACTTGAATTTATTATTCCTCCAATTTTTTTATCGACTGATACACCGAGTCAAGCCGAACCCCCAACCTGGAGGGCCAGGAGACTGGAATTTGTCTGACCTCAACCCATTGACCTTCCAGGCATAAATAGATCTTTGGCTCGACAAAAGCCATTCTGCGTAGCTCGTTGGGTCATAGAGGTGCACAAGCCAACATACCGCATTAATGTGTATTCTTGTTGTGATGGATCAGTGTATCACTGGCAGTTCACCGTGGGGAGTAGGCTAAAAGCTTTGACTCCAAACCAGTAAAGAATAGGCGTGCCAAGCACACACAAACTGTCCCGGTTTTGGAAGTTGTTAGTGGTTCGGTTGGACATCAAGATGTATTGGGCACCTTGGACGTCTGACCCCGTCCAAATGGCGTATGCTCCGATAAAATGAACACCAACCCTTAATGGATTGTGGTTTTGACATAGACCACCCCGCTACCTTGCGGGTCAGGCTTTGGTTACTCAAAAGCTCCGGTTGTAAATTCGAGAGGAAAATTCACCTGCTATGGATTGGACAACCTCGCAGTATCGCGCCCTCGAGCAAATCAAAGAGCTTTTTCCTCTCCATAAAGATTATTGCACCATGATTTGTTTAGACTGGACTCAGAGGTGCGTGTAATGTATAATATATATATGTATATACTTTGTGGAATAATACACATCTTTATTCATCAAGTGAGATGAATATATAAAATCACCAGCCAATGATTGCTCGAATGGTCAGTTGCTTGGCGGTTTAGATTTCGCACGTAATTTCGCGGGATAGTCTTCTGGAGCCAGATCACGAATAGAGAAAAGGCGCGTTGCACGCTCGGATAATGTACCACCGCATTTAAGTCCTTTTGACGTTAGGGTTTCTTTCAGAACTTCTAAACCGAATTCTTCCAGCGCTTGAGAGTTTGGAGCTGATTTTAGTTGTTCATCTGTAAGCGGTTGGGCGGGTGGCTTTGGAGTGGGTGTTTCCTCAGCATTAGGATTGATCGTTACATTCGAACGATTTAAGTCGCCTGAGATACGGGAAAAACAAGAATGAAACCAAATTGGTGAATATATGCGCAAACTAAGGTTAACTGGGTAACTGACCGATTGGTGAATGTATCGACTGATTGATCGACCGATTGCAAGTAGGCGGTGATCAGTAGAGTACAACAACATTTCATCGTCGAGGTAACTTACTATGTTGTTTACTGATATCCTTGGGAATTTTCGAACCTGCTTCCTGAGACGAACGTGAGGTCGGTAACTGTTCAATCGAATCAGGAGCGGCTGAGTCTTCCGACCGGTCGGATGAATGAGATGACTCCTCAGCTTCATCACTACTCACGCCGCTACTGAAACTGCTAGAACTTGAAAAGTCTCCATCAAGTTTTTCAATCCAGAGACGACTCTTTTTCGGTTTCGACGGCTCCGACGATGTGGAAGAGGTGGAGACCGATGAAGAGGTTCGCTTCTCGTTTAGAATAGATGCGATCGCTGAGGGTAGAGAACGAAAAAGGACATTGTGGCCAACCAATTTGAAAACTTTTAAAAATTAACAGCAATATTTATGATAATATCGTTCGATCAGATTCACTGAAAAAATTCCGATAGACTAGAGCTACCTGGAAAACAAACAAAGCAGTTTAATGGTGGTGATGTGATTCGAACATATGACTTCCAAGCTTATGTGACCACCTGATCCATGAAGCGGCAAGAAACTTGAACAGGCTGAATGCTTTGCTTAGTTTACCCGGAACGTCAATAACAAACAGATTAGAATTTTGTATGCTTGGATCCTGTCACCGTTGCGGAGTTCGTCTACATCCTAAGTTACCACGATAGCCCTTGGATTGGTCGTTTTGTTCATATATATTTCACACACCCGAGTCCCATTCAGACAAATCATAGTGCAATAATCTTTATGGAGAGGAAAAAGCTCTTTGATTTGCTCGAGGGCGCGATACTGCGAGGTTGTCCAATCCATAGCAGGTGAATTTTCCTCTCGAATTTACAACCGGAGCTTTTGAGTAACCAAAGCCTGACCCGCAAGGTAGCGGGGTGGTCTATGTCAAAACCACAATCCATTAAGGGTTGGTGTTCATTTTATCGGAGCATACGCCATTTGGACGGGGTCAGACGTCCAAGGTGCCCAATACATCTTGATGTCCAACCGAACCACTAACAACTTCCAAAACCGGGACAGTTTGTGTGTGCTTGGCACGCCTATTCTTTACTGGTTTGGAGTCAAAGCTTTTAGCCTACTCCCCACGGTGAACTGTCAGTGGTTCACTGACTCAGTTGCAGCCCTGGATGTTGGCTTCTCATCCTTTCCCTTTGGTGAAGAAAACGACTCCACCACGGGGAGGCACTGGGTAGGGCTTCCTCGGTAGGGGTTATCTGATATGCTCAGTCGTACAGGAGCGTTTTGCGAGGTGCAAGGGAGGGCTAACCAATCACAGTCCGGGATATCTACTGTTATTACTGCATTCTTCTCATATTGTGTGACAATACTGCATTCATACTAGTGTTCATTTTTAAAATTGAATGCTTCCAGTTCCCGTTTAAACAGCTATTCACCATGTATTCAAGTAGGCAAGTTTTCTTCAATATACTATGCACTACTGCATACCCTTCTACCACCACTAAACCAGAATGAATAATGCCCGACGTAAAAGTCTATTCGGAAACAATCACCACATTTTCGACTTAACTAACTCTCTTTAGGAAAACTGATCGACTGTGGGAAGGACTAGCACTGCACATCTAATATCGGTGTTACTGATGCGGTTTCCGCGATAATTACCTCCAAAAATGTATCAACAGATGTCTAACTAGTATTTGCTGCGTTTTTCTTCTGATTCTGTGAACGATTTATTTATGAAACTCAGAATATCATACAACTTCCTAGTTCAAGTTTACACGCAGGATTTTCGCAAATCCCAACTATCCATTGGACGCAGAATTGAAAAGTTGTCGTTCTTATCCCTCCACACGTTCTGAATTCTAACAAATGTCATCTCATATAAACGTCTACCGAAATTCAACTATACCTTACCTTGCGTCTCTGCTGACAAACAAAGAGATGGAAACAAGTGCACTTCCTCTTAATCTTGGACTATTTAATGCGCCTGTAAACATTTTCCTCCTTAAATATCCCCCCTGTGACGGTTGGCATGTAGAGCTTGTTAACTGAAATGTAAGCTTCAGTGCTTGCAAAAGTTACACAATACAGCCTGACTCAAATGATATGCTACTCACCAACATCTAGGGCGCCATGCAACTCATAGGAGATTTTACGCTTCTGACGTTCATATTTGCTATCAGAAAACTTGTGATCAGGCAATGGACCTTTCGAAAGTAACTCTTGTCTTCGCTGGCGCCGCGCATGATATCGTTCCAACTTTTCCCTTTCACGATCCGACGCTTTAGCATACCATTCGCGCAGTTTGCGTTCGGTGTTCACATCGCGCATTCGCCGACCAGATAAATCGCGACACATTTCATGATTTGTGGTTTTTTCTATCTGGCTGCCGATAGCTCGTAGCATAGATCCGAAACCTATTGGTTTTGTCAACGTCAGGAAGGAAGAGTAAGAAGAAACTAACCTCCTTTACCACCACGTAGACGGTGATGCTTGTGTAGTACGACACCCGCGGGAACTTCCNAACTTCCGATAAATCGTAAACGATTCGACCGTCATAGGTGTAGTAACAGTCCTCTTCCTCCTCAACTGCCCGTAAGGCGATTTCTGACCACGATTCATCAGAACACATAACTGTTTATGTATAGAACTAAAACAAATGTAAAAGATAAGGATCTCATCAGGTCGTTAAATCAACCCTACGGTTCAGTTAACTTGTTCCCGTTTGGTACTGATA